CCTAGTCAATTAAGATTGGAGTCAAGTGCACCCGCACGAGCGGGGTTCGAACTCACAACCTCAGTGTTGACTGGCTAGTGATTACAGTAGTAACTACTTAGACCACTCGGCCACCGAGGCCCCTGCCAACTTAGATGTGCCAATGCTAACACAACTGCATTAAAATTATCATTGATTTACCATTAGTGCTTTCACTTAAAATGACCTAATCGCAAACTTTAGCATTTAAACCATGCCAAAGTTTCAAAGTCAATAGACTATGACTGAGGAGGCACAGCCAAATAACCTCAATGGAAATGAGATGTGCTCATACTACAGCAAAACAAATATCATTGAGTTACCATTAGTGTTTTACCTTAAACTTATGTAATCACAAACTTTAACAAATGGTTGATAACATACTGCTACTGCCACTGCCAAAACAAGCATACCTTAGTTCTGCTCATGGAACTTCATCAAGGCAAGACATAAAACAATTAAAATCAAAAAAAGAATCAAATCAAGATGCCATAAAAATTTGTATTTTTCAAAGATGCAATTTATTTTGAAGACCAAATCAATAAGCAGAAACATTTAAAGATTATAACATCATACGGAATTGGTTCACTTCAGAAACTTGTAAATTGAGTCTTTTGACACTATTTTATATGAAACCATCTTTGAGAATGCAACTGTGTAATGAGAACTGAGTAACATAAACAATCTGGAACTAAAAAAATAATTGTATTGCAATTGCTTGTTACAGATAAAAGACACAGTGTCTATGATTTTACATTAAATTTTTAACATTCAGATATTTTACAATCAAGTTGTCATGATTCAAAGACTAACTCTCATTTTAAATTTATTTTTAACTTCCATTAAATTATCAAAACACAAATTGTTTGGGAAAATCATTCAGTTGTAGCTTTGAAGGACATAAACCTACAATTACAAAGATCAGTTATAAACCTAATAAAAACTAATTTTCAGTTATATTAAATCTGGACAATAAAACTTTCTGTTATTAAATTGTATTATTCATTGAAGGTACCAATTCAATATATCTTTGTAGTTCACAAGTTATTTTTCTAAAGAAGATAGAAAAAAGAGAAATTATCAACTACCTGTAATTCTAAATTTTAAACTCTTTTTGTATTATTAAAAGGCAATACAGTAATCATAAAAGATTAGAATTTTAAAAAAATGCATTATATGGGTTCTTAAGTCATGGAAATGAGAGGTGAAAGATACCATAGGGACATTCAAACTCATAAGTAGAAAATAAAGTGACAACGCCATGGCTAAAAAAAGAAAAAGACCAACAGACAAACAACAGTACACAAAACACAAAATAGAAAACTAAAGACTGAGCAACAAGAAACCCCACCAAAAGCTGGGAGTGATCTCAGGTGCTCCAGAAGGGTAAGCAGATCCTGCTCCACATGTGGCACCAATCGTGTTGCTCATGTTAGTACAAACCCTGTTATAAGTCAAATTTGGTAGGTCACATTTGGGGAAAAGGGGACAGGATTGTAGTTTTGACAATTGGAACATATCCGCTGTCATCTGTGAAACGGATATTCAAAACAGTCAACCAACTCACAATGGCGTCCATAAAATTTACTAAGTGATGATTTCAACTTCACCACTTGGAACTCTTGCATTAATAGCTTCCTTGTCAGCAGCAACCCTCTATCAAGGAAATCATGATAGGAAATACAAGCCATGGAATATCGTATCAGCTGGGAGATATATACTCTGTATGCAGGTACTGCTGGAATGTTACTACATTAAAATGGAAAGTTCACAATTGGGAAGCTGAAATCATCTCTTTTTTCGTAAAGTTTTGTTTTCAAATGACCCTCATTGTCAATTTTTAGATGAAAGTCAAGATATGAGGCAGACTTAGCATTATCTGTTGTATCCTTTATCTCAAGTTCGATGGGATAGATGCGTTCAACATACTATAAATTCAGAAATTATTGCGTGCATTTATTATTGCGATTTTGTCATTTTAGACTAAAATGCGATTTTAATTTTTGCGATATTGAGAAAAATCCTGTTTAATTCGTATAAAAAAAATTCAAAATGCAAGTTTAAATTATTGCGATTAAACCCTGTCGCATTTTTCGCAATAATAAAAACATCGCAATAATTTCTGAATTTACAGTAGTCACCAAATTTTGAATTATTTAGTGAAATTTGTAATACAATTTGTCATCCAAATCTTAGATAAATGAAAAGCAAAATACATGTACCTTTATAAATGTGAGTTTTTCTACAGAAATAATAAAAATAATTATTTTTTTCAAAAAATGTTTATCACATTTGGCATTTTACTACCATTTTCTGAGAAAAAAACATAGGTTATGTATTTATTTTTATAAATCATAATCCCACTGAGATTATTTAGAAATACCCATTACATTTTGTGCCATATCTCAGTGTTTCGTTAAGATTGGAGTATTTATTCCAAATTGCTCAAACTGTGAGAATACCTTTCTCTACATATAAAAACCTTATAATAAGGCTTTGAGGGTTCAATTTGTGGCCTACTTCAAAAAAAAATTTCTGCCTTGCCCATAATATACTCTATTTACTGTGGTGGTATTGATTATGCAAGGATGGTATTGATTACACAAGTATTTTCTGTCTTTCATCCCATTCCGCCCACCTTGTAGAACCTTCCCGATTAATTTATTGTTTAATTTGTTCTTGTCCTTCACATGTATAAAATACTTTCCACTGGACATTAAGCTAACTACAATCAAATAAATTACCGGTAATCAGTTTTAAAGGACATATAATGGATACTTTTAATGAGGACAGGTAACAATAGTATTTGGAACAGGTATTTCTTACTCTTCCAATTCATCTACAAATTTTAGGTACTGTCCCTACTGCTCAGTCTAGTTTTATAACAGTGATAATTTTTTTCATTTAGTGGGCATTTAGTTGCCTGTCCTTTGACCTATGATCCATTCTCCTACACTCTCAGCATCTTCAGATTTGTTTATCAAATCATATTCATTATTTCATTTTCCCATTCATATCTGCTAATAGTAAATTCCTTATTCATTCTTGTGTAATAATATTACGTATAGATTATTGTGGCTTTATGATGTCTGACTTGCGGTGAAATTAATTAAACAAATGGACCGACGTCGCCATACTCTTACTGTACAAATAGTCAATGTCACAATGGTTTCATCTTAGATCGGATATTAAATTTATAACGTTCAATAATCAACAATACACAGGAAACAACTAATTCAGTTCAACTATTTGAACAGTATCTGAGAGTCAGTGCAAATGACTTTTATATGCACATTTTCTTCCTTTTGAGGTCAAAGTCAACACACACCTTAATACAAAATCAATAATTGACAATTGAGGAATGAAATTAATGTATTTTTGAATGTACTTTTGATGTTTTTATTTTGTCAAAAGTGTTAAAAGATAATAGTCTTCCACATCATTTAATCAATGTGAACCTCAGCCTCAATATCTATAAATACATGCAACCAAGTCATTGAACATACAAGGGGAGATAACTCAAATTTGGTTTATAAAATTTCTTTGTCTTCTTAATAGGAGTAATACCACCATTGTTATTCCCATATTAGTCTTTGTTAAATTTGCACTTTTTAAAAAAATGTGCAGAATTTATCTTTGTTTCAAATAAAGAAATAATTGGTATGAGTAAAATTTTATCCTGTCCAGTACTACAGACAAAATTTTGCATAACATTTCATTGCATATAAGATAACAACCATCACTGGAAGTTAACCAATGAAATTTTCACCCCTTTTTTCCTGTTTACAAGCTTTAGTAACCATGTAACTTCAAGTTTCCAAAATATTTTATAAAAACACCAAATAAAAAAAGAATGGTGCTTTGAAACACCCAAGATATATGTTTATGACAATTTATAAGTCTAATTTTTTCACAGTGTCTGTCATAGATCTATATAACAGCATAGGTATCATGTATCAAAGTAACCAGAACTGAGATAGATGAAAGACCAAACGTTTTCCCTGACCTTACGACCTAAGGGGAGTACCCAACAGGAGCCCTGTAGTTTCAAAGGAAAATATAAGTGAAAGGTCAATTCTCAATAATGCATAATCTGGTCTGTTCTAATCACACTAAGCCTATGAAAAGCTTAATTACGCAAATTAAGTAGTAGTATTTGTTCCAGTGGAAATAATATTACAGAATATTTCTTCCATCAGGAAATTATATTATGAAGGAACTTTTCTTTCATGACATGTGTTCGCATATGCCTCTTCCAGTAGATGCTGCCTTTTTAAAAAGCCTTCCCACAAATACCACACTTATGTTTTCATCTGAATATAAGCTCTTGTGTCTCCAGAAATTAGAAACATACTTGAATTCTTTTGCACATTCATCACATTTATAAATTTGTTCATAGGTATGTGTTCTGGTATGTACCAATTATAACGTGCAATTTGTCAGTAATAGTTTTACATCATACACTGCCTGAAAAGGTTTATTATTGATATGTCTTCTGATGTGTTTTTGCAAACTATTATTGTCAACATCATAAATGTATCACCTTAGATCTAATATTAAATTTATAACAATACACAGGAAACTCTAATTCAGTTAACCTATTTAAACATTATCTGAGATTCAGTGCAAAGAAAAAGAGACAACTCTCCATCCAAGTCAAAATTTATAACAGTAAACCATTATAGGTCAAAGTACGGTCTTCAACACGGAGCCTTGGCTCACACCGAACAGCAAGCTATAAATGGCCCCAAAAATTACTAGAGTAAAACCATTCAAACGGGAAAACCAACGGTCTAATCTATATAAAAAATGAGAAACGAGAAACACTTATGAACCACATCAACAAACGACAACTACTGAACATCAGATTCCTGACTTAGGACAGGTGCAAACAATTACAGCGGGTTCTTCCTTTTGAGGTAAAAGTCAACTCACACATTAATACAAAATCAATAATTGTCAATTGAGGAATGAAATTAATGTATTTTTAATGTTTTTATTTTGTCAAAAGTGTTAAAAGATAACAGCTTTCCACATAATTAAATCAATGTTCACCACATCCTCAATATCTACAAATACATGCAACTAAGTTCATTGGACATTCTAAGGGAGATAACTCAAATTTGTTTTACTACTTGTCTTTGCATTTCTCTTAGGTTTGAGTTAAATGAAAAATTTTAAGTCATGAATCATTATTATTTCACAGTGTCTGTCGTAAATCTATATACCACTATAGGTTTGGTGGTTTCATATGACAAAGTAACTAGACCAAACATTTTCTATTAATATCATTTCCACTCTATTCACACTGTTTATCCATGTCTTCAATCAGAGGCAAAATTGAAGATCTATTGATAATACTGAACTCACTGTTCTCCTTTCACAACATCCATGACAATGCTGACTTATCTCCTCCTTGAAACAGCTACTTCACTTCAGTAGACACTCCAGCATGCTTCTGATCATGTTCAGACTGACCTGAAATTAAAATATATTCATATTAAAATCTGATCATAATAATATGATACACATAGTTAGCTTAATCAAAGTCTATAACTTAAATGATATTCTTGTCCAGGTGAAAACCTATATGAAACAATGAAAAAACCATTTAAGAATCTTTTACATATATAAGTTATAACTATCAAACCTCTCTTAAATATGACCTAATCATAAACAACAGCATCTAAAACCGGTATAAATATATCATTTAGCAGCTTCCCTCAAGGAATGACCATTTAATTTTGAGGGCGGGGGTTAAGGAAATACATTATTTCTTTTATGTAAAATCTTTATATTAAAATCATATTATCACCATTAGAATTTATGTTGATTACGATTTTATTAGAAGTTATCACGACTATTGTGTATACATGCATAATCAAATAAAAACATATAGTATAGAAGTCAGTACAATACTTTTTCAACTTTAATCAGCAATTGTCCATATGACTTTGATCTTAGCAGTCATTTCAACCAATGTAATAATGATAGGTTACACACAAGCTTATCAAAAAGCTGATGCAAACAAACTTTCTTTTTTGAAAAAAAAAATTATAAATATTACTCAATTTGAGAAACAACAACAACAAATACTTTATTAGAGTCTCACATCTTTAAAACATCTGATATAAAACATAATATAATAATAACAGATCAATTTATAAAAGAGCCACTCTAAAAAGAGTTGTGAGAGACTGTAAAACACACATTAAAAATACATTTATATTACATATATATAACATATATCAATATATTTTAGCATAAAACACCATAATATCAAAAAGCAATTCTGATGAAATTTGATTTGCCAAATTCCTTCCATAAAAAGATATAAATTTACTGTGGACAAAAAAAAGTTGTTTTGAATGAAAGGGAAATCATTACAAAGTGCAAATGATTATATATAAATTCAACAACTTTTGGTTAGCAACTTTTCCAAATACCTGGTTGCTTTTTAGTTTGATCCCTTGAAAGATGCTTTTTTTCATAAGGATTAGTCTAGCGACTGGTTCATTTTTTGGAAAATCGCTAACCAAAAGTTGGAACTATTAATCTAAACAAATGCCTTTTTCACTATTTCTGTTAAATTCAACAAGAGTGCACATGCTGAAATGCCTCGCCTTCTTTACTAATCATTGATATTATGTTGATAGTCCTAAATATAAAGCTTTACTACAACTATCACATAAACTTAACATGATCCAAGAAAATGAGGTCAAGGTCATATAAACCAAACAAAAAAATACATTGTACACCTTACAATCAATCAATACACTAAATATAGTTGACCTATTGCTTATAGTTTCTAAGATAGACTTAACCAAGAAAACTAAACATTGACCAATGAACCATTAAATGAGGTCAAGGTCAGATGAACCAGGCCAGGCAGACATGTACAGCTTGCAATCCTTCCATACAACAAGTATAGTTGACCTATTGTTTATAGTATTAGAAAAACAGACCAAAACACAAAAACTTAACACTGAGCAATGAACCGTGAAAATGAGGTCAAGGTCAAATAAAACCTGCAAGACTGACATGTACATCATAAAATATTTCCATTCACCAAATATAGTTGACCTATTGCATATAGTATTAGAAAAAAAGACCAAAACTCAAAAACTTAACTTTGACCACTGAACCATGAAAATGAGGTCAAGGTCAGAAGACACCTGCCAGCTAAACATGTACACCTTACAATCATTCCATACACCAAATATAGTAGACCTATTGCATACAGTATAAGAAAAACAGACCAAAACACAAAAACTTAACTATAACCACTGAACCATGAAAATGAGGTCAAGGTCAGATGACACCTGCCAGTTAGACATGTACACCTTACAGTCCTTCCATACACCGAATATGCTAGACCTATTGCTTCTAGTATCTGAGATATGGACTTGACCACATAAAACTTAACCTTGTTCACTGATCCATAAAACGAGGTTGAGGTCAAGTGAAAACTGTCTGACGGGCATGAGGACCTTGCAAGGTACACACATACCAAATATAGTTATCCTATTACTCATAATAAGAGAGAAATTAACATTACAAAAAATCTTAACTTTTTTTCAAGTAGTCACTGAACCATGAAAATGAGGTCATGGACAATGGACTGTGACAGATGGAAACTTCATAACATAAGGCGTCTATATACAAAGTATGAAGCATCCAGGTCTTCCACCTTCTAAAATATAAAGCTTTTAAGAAGTTAGCTAACGCCACCGCCGCCGGATCACTATCCCTATGTTGAGCTTTCTGCGACAAAAGTCGCAGGCTCAACAAAAATTAAGATCTGTTTTTGCACTGAAAATTTATATCGCATTTGGTTATAATAACCAATTTGGGTGGTTGCCCCAACCTGTTTAAGGTGGGGAAAGTGTAGGACACTTCCCCATACCTAGTTAGTTTATAACCACCCTTACGCTAGTGGATGACTCCTTTGGCTCAGTTGGTAGAGCGTTGGCTTGCTGTTCCAGGAGACCTGGGTTGGAATCCTGGCAGGTATCCTTATTAATAGATCTTCTAATCTATGTCTTTACAACAGTGTAGTCTCTAATGTGCTTTTGTCATATCATATGTGTTGTAATCTCTTTTGTGTTTACTCTATTTTTCATTTGTAGGTGGCGCTTATAGCAATAAAAAAAGAACAAAAACTATATAAAAAAGTATCAAAAATTAACAAGAATGTGTCCATGGTACATGGATGCCCCACTCGAACTATCATTTTCTATGTTCAGTGGACCGTGAAATTGGGGTCAAAACTCTAATTTGGCATTAAAATTGGAAAGATCATATCATAGGGAACATGTGTACTGAGTTTCAAGTTGATTGGACTTCAACTTCATCAGAAACTGCCTTGACCAAAAACTTTAACCTGAAGCAGGACAGATGGACGAACAGACGCATAGACCAAAAAACAAAATGCTCCTAGGTGGGGCATAAAAAAAATAATAATGGCTATCTTAAATATGGAGTGTTTCTTCAGTGAAATCAGATAATACTTGAATGATGTTTTCATTGTTAGCTGAATTTATGTCAAGAAGGATGTCCAAATCTAATATTATATATCCTAAGATAAAGTATATATTTTGTATAAGTTTTCCCTTTCAGTCTCCTACTTATTCACATTTGAGAAGGAATGTTCCACATCTTCTTTTTTACCATAACTCACAATTACTGCTGTTAATGTGTTGATTAATTAAAATTCTGATATGAATTTAGTTTTGAGTACCAATTTCTTAAGCTATGTTGATGTTATGTATATTCTTGTTGGGCTTGATATCTTGTTTTACTTTATATTTTACTTCTTAGTGAAACCTGTGGTAATGTTGCTCAGTGCTTCTGTTATCCATCTTGTTTGCCATTTTTTGGAAACTGATTCTTTTGCAGCTTTTTTTATCCTGTTTTGTTACTGGTGTGTTGTTGAAAGACATGTACAAAATGTATGTAGATTCTGCCTCTTTTGATCAGGGTTGTTATTGTAAATCAAATGATATAAAACTATTTTGATAGCAATAAGCTCTGCAAAAAGAATAATTCCACATTAAGATACAGCCTACTTTCTAATTTCCTTATCCATGTAATATAAAATGGCCCCTGATCCACATGGCCTAGGATTTCCTATAATACAGGAACCATCTGTAAATCCAACAGCTGATTTTGATGATTATGTATTAATTTGATCTAGTATCAATTTTCTGCCTTCTTCTGCTTGTTGCTTTGTTCTCATCTAAGAACTACCAATAGACATGTACATATTTTATCAATCCAATCATTGTGGCCTAAACACAGCAGTACAATCATATTCATCTGAGGTTGAGAAATTCAAATTTATAGTACTTAAGCAGTAGTGACTTAGATGTCTGTAAAATATGTATTTTAGGTGTCAACAAGATGTATGATATAAATCTGTCTTTAAAACAAGACATATAATACTAATCTCTCACTTTTGTATAAGGAATTGAAGTATATTTTCATTGTTGTGAAGTAAGGGAGATAACCTGTGAATTCTTTGTAATAACTGAGATATATATAACATGGGACTTAACTCTAATTGACCCAGCTGTGGTACCAGTGATGATAATTGTTCTGTTCAATGTATTATTTTTACATATATCTTTATTCTTATAAAGCCAGTGCATAACATCAGTACAGAGATAACAACAACAATAACTATTTACAATATATACAAAACAAGCGAGAGGTTACAAAAGTCACTAGCCAGGAGGACAGACAAAAGTATTAATATTTTTTATAAATGAACAAAGCTTCTTCAGGACTTGTTTTTGTGTACTCAACATAAGTTCACTGTATTTTGACGTTTTACAAAATATGAGGATAAATACTCCTTAGGTTTTTGAACGAAAAAAGAACATTTGAATATATATAATGATAATCGTCTCCAATTTGTCTATTGTTACATTGGAGGCAAAAACGGTTTTCATTTGATACGTTTTGCTACCCTCCTGTTTCAATAGGCAATTGGTTATTAGTTGTTCAAATTCGACAGAGTACAAAAGCATCTTTAAAGTCCAAAATATTAAAATATTCCTCAATTTACCTACTGCGAGTGCAGATTAAGTGTGCACTTTTTCCAATATAATTTTATTAATTTCCTTTGTTAAATATTTTGTAGGGTCTTTTATAAATATTTTACTTTTAAAGCCTATACCCATATTTCTATGCCATACAATATTACTGGCTTCACTGTATCATTAAATATATGAAGTGGTGAAGTAATACATTTTTTGTGTTGTACTTGGCTTATATGGTGTAATTATCTTACTAAGCTTCAAGAATGCTTTTAATCCTTTTAAATTATTATAAAGTTCATTTTTTGCATATGAAAATGTGCCTGATGCAGTAAAACATAAACCATAAACCTAGATATGTATATTTCTGAACACAGTCTACTATAGTATTATGATATTTGAATAAAGTTTTTTTTTTTGTTAGGAACAGATTTATTAAAAATTAGAACTTTGTTTTATCAGTATTAATATGTAATTGCCATTTTTAATAAAATGTATACAATTTATTTAGGCAATATTTCTCAAGTAGTCTGGTGTGGGAATTGTGGAAATAAGCCCCTGGAATAAGTATTGTGGTTCCATATCACATACAATTATATTTTCTGATTTTCTCATATTTTCAGCTTGTTGATACATTTTACCTAGTGGTTATAAATATAATTCTGGTTCTTCCTCCTCTTTCCAAATTTCTAATTTTTTAGTGCTTTTGTACGAGTTAATTTTAGCAAATTGTCCAATGACCATTTCTTCTCTCGTACTACTTCTAGAGTTTCTAGACTTTTCTAGACTGCACTGGAAGGTCTAGGCACATGGCTAATCCTTTGCCTTGAGCTTCATTAATTTTATCCAGGCTTGTTGGATTTCCAATCTACCAAATGCTGCTTGAATAGTTGATTTAAATGCAATTATTTTGTAACAATGGTTCTAATTGGATGACAATGAGCATAAAATTCTCTATCTCCCTGTCAGCAATTTAGGGAAGCTGACATTTTGAATTCCAGAATGTATTGACATGTAATTTCTCAAATAATAAACAAAAACCTCACATTTTGCACCTAGAAATCTTCATTTTATAAAATTTTATTACATTCTGAAGTGGACAAGAAGCCAGAAAATGCTTTGTGTTTACAGTTGACACTGGAAGCATACCTATGATGTCATCAAGTTTTAGGCGCAAAATAAGACATCATTTCACAGAATTTTTGTCTTTAATGAAAATTTTACAGCAAAATAATTACTAAAATCTAATGATTTGTTTAATATACATTAGAATAGAGATAACTGTTTTTGTATTTGAAGCTTTGCGGACATCCATCAGTAGTTTTATTGTTGCAAATATACGTTAACCTGTCTCCACGTACTACCGATTGTCATCTGTAAAGCTTCAAATACAATACAGTTATCTCTTAAATACTTAACATACCAGACTGTCATATATTTGAATAAAGGTGTTTTCTAGTTTATCTAATTTTATATTTTCTATTTTCAGGCCAAAAATAAACAAAAATTGTTTGATGTTGCCTACCTACCCACTTAAATAGCAGCCTACCTGAAAAATTTTATGACACATATCGTTTCAAATTTGTTTTTAAAGTTTTTTTCATGCTCTAATGTCAATTTCTCATCTAAAACATGCAACTAATGCTGTTGGCCAAAAAAATCTCAACCTACCTACCCAACCCTACAAGGCATTGGTAGGCAACATCAAACAAAGAATTTGTTAAGGGTGGCCTCATCAAATAAAATTTCATTAGTATCCTTCTGAAGTGGTACATTGTAGTACTAAATTTTCTGTTTTGTTTTTTGTTATTTTTTTTTTAAATTTGGCCATTTTCTTTTAGCTATTATTATTCTCCTATTTTTAACACAAAGATTTTCAGACCATTTATTTTTAGCATCAATTTTACATTTTTCAAATTGTACCAAATTATTCAATTGACAAGAGTTCTTGGTAATTCTCTGGAATATTTTATGCTTGAATTTTTCTCTGTAACACACTCATTCCACCAGGGAGGGTATTGCTGTGATGTCTTTTTACCACCTTGTATTTTAGGTACACATTTTGTCATGCAACTTCTACATGTAATAGCATTTTCAAATCTTTCATAATTACTTTCTACATTTTCATGTTGATCAAAGATAATTTGTGAAATTTGTCCTTAAGTATTTAAGGAAGTTTGAACTATATTATTGTATCGATTTTATGGTTCTGGTCCTGCCTGGAATAAATTGTACATGATTTATATAAGATGAAGAAATAGGTAGGTTTATAACCATATGAACATTTAATATTTCATTCCAATTTATCTTCGTATAATCGGTTTTCGTGCTATTAAGAACGCATTGTGACAGGGTCAATCAACGTAAACGACCTCAACGTGTAATCGGTTCCTTAATCCTACTGTGAAGTAATAACATAAGCATTGTGACATAGGAAATTTACAGGAAAATGCACAAATTCAAAAGTCGTCTACTGTATTAAAGAGAGACGAAAGATACCAAAGGGACATTCAAACTCATAAGTCGAAAACTGACAACGCCATGGCTAAAAAGGAAAAAGACCAACAGACACACAATAGTACACAAAACACAACATAGAAAACTAAAGATTGAGCAACTTTGTGATTTGTATAGATTTATATGCTCTATATGGGTCCTTTAATTAAGAATAAGGAAACTTTTATTTGATTTCATTTAAATATTTGTTTATATCAAAATATTTCTATAACACATTGGTTTGCCTTCTTCCGAGTTCTATTTGCAATGAAGGTAAATCTAGCTGCGGAACCGTAGCTCTTAGGTCCTTATGTTATTGTTTGACTATTTGCGGACCATATGGTCAGCAAACAGTCAAAAAATAACATAAGGACCTAAGAGCTACGGTTCCGCAGCTAAGGTAAATCATGCTCTCCAGTTAAATGCCGTATCATATGTGCACAATGGCATTGTCAAATTAATTTTGAATATTGTACGGAGTTCGTCTTATATCACAGGTAACACCTGACGTCTATCACATATCTCACTCAACTACTTAATTCTTACAGCGAAAAGTGTTGGATGAAACTGTTTGGAGCAGACCAACAACCTACTCGGAACTGGGTTGCACTAAAGACCAACTCCCTACATACAAATTTTATTGACAAAAAAAATTCTAAAAGTTTTCTTCTTTGAAATTTCGTTTGTAAGGATAAACATTGAACATCAAAGAATAAAAGTCAATTTGAAAAACTTTTAGACATTTATTACACAGCAGTTGCTTTCAAATAATAAGGTCTGTGTAGGTCCATAGTTAGATCTGGTTCGGGACTTTTCAAGACTTGCCATTGTCATTGAAAACATTGTAGTCACAATTTGCCGGTAAGCGCTGTCAAAAAATTTACACAACAATAATTTATTTTATAGCAGAAATTGTGGACAGTCAAAGGCTAGGACAGGGGAAACTTGATATCACCCAAGAGACTTTAGAAAAAATAGAGAGAATAGTCGAAACTTATCTTTTGCTATGCCTATGATCTGCATGTTACACTGGAACACTGACCATTGCTGACAGTAACTTGAGTAAGTCAAATCACAGGACTTTGAAATCTTAGCAATATAGGTCTATAAATATGTCAAACTTGACTATCACAGTAGAGCTTCTCTCGAGTTTGACATATTTATAGACCTTTATTGCTAAGATTTCAAAGTCCTTGTAAAAAGACTTGGATGGTACTACCAGCGGGATTCGATGCCAGCAAATATCTTAGGATCAAATCCATGACAACTCGCCCCACTTTTTACCAACATGCCCAACTTTTACACCAACTTGCCCCACTTTCTACCTACTCACCCCACTCAGTGAATCTGGTTTACCAACTCGGCCCACTTTCTACCTACTCACCCCACTCAGTGAATCTGGTTTACCAACTCGCCCCACTTAGTGAATCTGGTTTACTAATTCGCCCCACTTTGGGAAAAGGGTAATATCCCGTTAAATTTACTCCTGCCAACTCGCCCCACTAACGAAAAAGTGTAAATTCCCAATGAATAAAGGTCTGCAAACTCGCCCCACTTGTGGAAAATTGTAAAATCCTGACAATTTTAGTCCTGCCAACTTTCCCCACTAATGAAAAAGGGTAATATCCCAATGAATTTAGTCCTGCCAGCTTGTACTGCTTTAAGAACTACCAACTCGCCCCACTTATGAATTAAATGAATACTGATGAAAACCTTAGAAATGCATCTGGTTTTTTTTTTACTTCTTTTCTTTTGGTTGAAATAAAGCAGAAAGAAGTAAGTATCAGCATGTTTGTGATGTACGATGTTATTGACCATTGTAACTGTTTATCATGTTTGTTTTCTGGTAAATATAAAACACTGTTTTACAAGATAAGTCAAGAATTATGGGTGTTTACATAATTTTATTCTCAGATGATAGGTTTGCACATGTACAGAAGTATTATTTGTATAACAATAACATTTTTAAAAAAACAGTTCAGTAGCTTTCGGCTACCACGACTGGACTGTTGACACGACCACACTGACTTAAGAGTCTAGTTGTAGAGATGCTGCCACCAATATACTGCTCCCACATGTTGAAGAGGATGGCTTGGTTAGTGCTGACTTGCTTACGCTGGTATCGATTAAGCTTTACCCTCGAACACTAACTTAATCTGGATGGGTCAGGGATGGGGTAATCATATTCTGTAATCGTAATCATAAATGAAGGAACTTTATCACCGCTCTCTCTTGTTGAAAACTCATATTTTAAGAATATTGTTATTAATTTGGATCCTCGGTCTAGAAAACAACTGTTTAAAACATACCATAAATTTGGAAGCAATGCTTGTGTAAAGTTCTTAATTTCCACTATGAATACATTGAGCAGTAAGTATAATTGGGTTTAGCCTTCTTTATTTTTTTTTATTTTGTAGCATGTAAAATTTTTACAGTAATCGAAAAAGTCAGTTTATGAATTGTTTACAAAAAAATCCATCATTTGACAGTAATAGTGCCCATCCCTGGGATGGGTAGTAGTTGCGACTCTTCATGCAGTTTGTGGATACCCTTTATGGAATGGCAAGGAAAACCATGCCTCACAGCAAGCTCTTTAAATGGCTACAACAAAGGCAAATGCAAAAATATTCTATTTACTGTAGTTGCAGCCTTGGTCACTATAAGATGATTTATTATGTTTTATGGGCCATTAAGTTCATATTCTATTTAGTTTTAATGAGTTTTAGCCTAATTTTAGTTCTGATGTGACTTACTTAAAATGTTTCATTTTCTGTTGATAAGGAGCAGGACCAAAACATGTTTACCTTAAATATGTTGTCAGGTTAAACACATAGAAGGTTTGGCAGACCTTTATTCATCAGGATTTTACCCTTTTTCATAAGTGGGGCGATTTGGCAGGAGTAAATTTAATGGGATCTAACCCTTTTTCGTAAGTGGGGCGAGTTGGTAGAAAGTGGGGCGAGTTGGTGGAAAAGTGGGGCGATTTGTCTTGCTTCCCTTTCTTCACTCAGGATCTAAATGCAGCTATCGAATGGACTGAGCCAAAGAATATCTATAACATAACCGAGTTAAGACTGTTTATACATATGTCCCAATTATAAAACAAGACGGACCGAAGGACAAAGATGTGAACAATGAACGTTTCTCGTTGAGTACCAAATTTGCCAAAAATGCAGCAAAAATCTTAACAAGTTTTCTAAGGACCACCTCGGGGTGCAGGATTTTTTCGCTGCATTGAAGACCCATTGGTGGCCTTCGGCTGTTGTCTGCTCTTTGGTCGGGTTGTTGTCTCTTTGACATATTCCCCATTTTCATTCTCAATTTTATTAATAATTTGTAATCTTATAATTTGCCATTATGTACATTTTTGCTTAATGTATTTAAATATGCACAAAACAGTAGCATTATATATATACAGATAAAGTATCTGGTGAAAAAATTAAAATTTACATAAATGTTGAATGCAATGTCCACAAAAAGTCAACTTTTAAAAAAGAGCAATTGAAATATGTCTGACAAAATGAATAATAAGCATGGGCTACAAATGTATAGATAAGTTTCAATTGACACAATTTGAGCAAGAGTTACTTCCCCTTTGTTGCCATTCTGGAGGTCTAAGTGAGTGAATTTACTCTTAAATCAACCAAATTAAACTTGTTATACTGACCACTAGACTATAGAAAAAAAGGGTTTTTATGAACAATTTTTATTCCTTTTAATCTTGCATAATTTTAATCACTACCATCTAGTAAGGATCTCTTGCTAGACTTTTGTGTATCACATGTATCAATTTGGTTAGTCAAATAAGAAAATCAACTGTTTAGCCCTCCACAGCGGCAGCACAGGGAAATAACTCAAACTCATATTGCGTCTTTCGAGACCTATCTATTGTCAAATTGTTCTAAAAATGTTGAGAAATAAAACAAAACATCAGTGATTCAATTTTTACCAATGTGAATCTAAGCATGGATGCAATTTAGGTACTTGATCATTATTACAGAATCTTGGGTTGTTTCAAACTCATTTTTCTATGATTCAGTATGAATTCAAAATTTAATTTGTAGATCTTTATAGATGATAAGGATACATCTTCAAAATAAACACAGAATCAATGGAAACTTTTGTATTGATCTTAAAAAAAACCTAGGTGAAAAAACTGTCAAAATCGGTGCAATTTGAGTACCCTCATGTTACAGTCTCAATATTGACGACATCAAGTCCAAACCACCTGATTGCACCTTTGCTAGTTCCCCATTCATATATAATCTGTCATGGCATGTTATTACTGGTGATCTACATTTATATATTGTCAACAACACTTCTCTGCGATCGTTTTAGGTGGGGTTCATGTTGCTCAGTTTTTGGTTTTCTATATTGTTTCGTGTACTGTTGTTTGTCTTTTTTTTTTAGCCATGGCATTGTCAGTATATTTTCGACTTGTGATTTTGAATGTCCCTTTGATATCATTAGCCTCTTTTTTTTAAATGGGCCTAAATACAGAGAGCCAAAATCCATCAAGTGGAATGACAAATGTATCAATTTTTGTTTAAGACTGTATTTGACCTCTAGGCCTTTAGATATCTTTAGATGTTAATGTCTTTGGGTTGCTGTTTCATTCACATATATTTCATAGTTTTATTTGTATGAAAATAGAGGATGTTTAACTTCAGGTTCACAAAAGTTGGCAGAGACAAAACTTAAGTTGGTGGTAAACCCAAGAAATGGCTACTTATTCATTTTGTAGCTTCAAAAATGTAGATAGAAAGAAGGTTTACTCAGAGATAAACAAAACCAAAAAAATTAAGAAACACTTGTGAAAAGTGTAAAGATTTATCAGAATGTGATTACTGGAACAAGAAATGAAGTAAAAATGTTTGATTCAGATAAGATCATTCATTATTGTATAGTCTAAAATTGAGAATGGAAATGGTGAATGTGTCAAAGAAACAACAACCCGACCAAAGAGCAGAAAACAGCATGCCCACCTGAAGTTAATTTTAAAAAGGTGTCTTATTTTGTTTGCAATGCATTTTTAAATTTTTTTTATTGCATATACCTAAATGTTCAATTTAAAGACTTATTACATGCAATTAAAATGTGAATTGTCCAATTTCTTGTCTGAATTGTAGATTTTGTCATACCAGTGCCTTTAAGTCTTACTTTATGGTATTGGGTTTGCTCATTGTTGAAGGCTTTGTAGTATCCTGTAATTGTTCACATCATTGTCCTTTACAATATGGATTTTTGTTATCTTGGCAATCATACCTCATTTTATTTTTAGAATAAATGAGAATAAATAAATGTTTATTAGCCATATGTCAAACTATATGTACATGTATATTTATAGTCTTAAACAGAAAATTATGAACTGAGAACACAATGAACACATTCTTGACTACAGTTTATACAAAAACAACCAATTTAAAATTGATTGAATTGCATCAGAATATAGAATTCATTTTGTTGAATATAAAATATAATGAAATCTTTCTCTTAATTTCAGAAAAGAAGAAAAGTTTATATCCAAGACAAAAGAGTTGACAACAGTGAAAAAAATGTGGCATATAGCAGCAAACGAAATTTATATTCTAATACTTGGAATATTGTTTACTGTATTTATTGGATTTATCTCCATTAAACTATTCCAAGTAAGATTTCCACAGCTTACATGTGGTCCTGCCAAAGAAACATTTATTGTATTTGTTGCAATCATGTTAACATTGCTACTTTTACCCACAATATGTGTTGTGGAAGATATTGTTGGGACTTGGCTGCATGTGTTTTTACATCATTTGTGTACTTCCTTTGTTATCCTTTTAGTTATCCTGGGTATTTGTTTTAGGAAGGAGATTGCTAATGGATTAACAGAAAACATTTTTAGTACAGAGAAACAATCATCTCCAAGTCCAAAGTTCAGCGTAACAAGAAAAAGCCAATATGGAAGACAAATGTCAAGAAGAGGTAGTAAACAGCATAATACCAATAAGAGCTTGTCTCCAAAAAGGGAGAGGAGAGTTTACATAAATTATGAGATGGAATTAAAGAAGGGTTACATTCAGGCAATATGTTCAGTGCACAAGGACATGAAAGAGGAAACCATCAAAAAGGCTATGAGATATATGAATGACAGAGGTAATCATACATATACATGTTACAAAACTTTTGAAAATGGTCATTTGTGATGCCAGTTGTTCATTTCATCTACAGAAGATGTGCGAGAATAACAAAAATGTGATGCCAAATCTATTATCAAGTTGAAAAGTATTAAAAACTAAAAATTCCAAATAGTTAAAAAAATAAAGCAATTTACTGTAAGCAATTATGTCTGAATGTAGTTTACCTCTGTGTATTGTTTAGTTATGTTATGCATAATCACTGAACTGCACTCCTAAGAAATATGTCACTGTGATGTTAGAACATATAAACATGATAAGTGATATTTCTATAGTTCTACTGTGCAAAATGGCCCAGCAGCAGCATTTGAATCACAATGACACTTTTAATGCTAGAATGTCTTTAGTTATTTTTGGTGTTTATGGGTCAAATGGACAAAAGAAATAGTATGTACTTTTCTCTTCGCTATCCATCTTAAACTTTCTAAATCTCTGGAACCTCTGGGACCATTGTTATCAAATTTGGCTGCAGTCCCTTAACATCCTTAAGGGGTATCAAATGTTTCAACTAATCTCCAATTACGATAGCTGTTGTGAGCATACTAAAACTTTGGGTGAATAATATCTTTATACATGTAGTGTATATAAGTGCAGATAAAGTCCCAAACTGACATTAAATTGACCACAACGTTTACTAAAAATAAATAAATTAACAAAACAATCAACTAAATACAATCTGAAAAATCCTATAAAGGGCTTATTTGTACATAATATAAAAATAAGAAGTTGTGGTATGATTGCAAATGAGACAACTCTCCACCCGAGACCAAATGACATAAAAGTAAGCAACTATAGGTCACCTTTCAGCCTTTAACAATGAGCCAAACCCATACAGCATAGCAAGATATAAAAGGCCCAAACCTGACAAAAGAGAAAACTTCCACCTGATTATCTACAAAACAATAAATGAAAAACAAATAGTATATACAGCAACAAACGACAACCACTGAATTACAGGCTCATGACTTGTGACACGAATATACAGAATGGGGCAGTGTTAAACATGTTTGTGGGCGCCCAACCCTCACATAACCTTGGACAGTGGTGTAACAGCACAACATAAGAACAAACATGTTTAACCCCGCCACATTCTGTATGTGCCTGTCCCAAGTGATTTTGTAATACTAGTTTTATGAGGGTAGGAATGCCCTTTACCGTCATGCGTCAAACGGTCATTTTCGGCTACCGTTAATGTCAAATTGGTTAAAATTTTACTGTGATTCGTCAAAATATCCTTATCGTGATTCGTCAGAGGTCTCAAATAATTATCTTTTTCATTATTTTGGGAAAAAATTTAACGTGATTCGTCAAAAATCAGTTGATTTTTTATCATCTTAAAGAAAGTGTACATTTTATCATCATGCACCAAAAATTACCGTTAACGTCATTTGGGAAGATTTTTTATCATTATTCGTCATGAAGGTACTCCCATTACGACCCTCTTTTATATACATATTATCAAATTATCAATATGGTCTCAAGTTTGTTAAGTGCTGAATATAGTAGTTCCATGCTTATTTGGTTTTCATTGTTCTATTATTTCAATTTTTGGTTGTGATGCATAAGAGATAGGCTTCAGAAGCTTTGTTGTTAAGCACTCATGTTAAAGGTTATTCTATAAACTTGAATATTGTGCACTGTGATGGATCCCATACAAATTCTTACATGTATTATACAAGTTTTTCACTTGCACTTACAGGAATCTTCACAGCTGAAAGGAGAAAGGCCGAAGTAGTATTGAAGAATATAGAACACATAAAAAATTTAGAGGGATGGGCCATAAACTTTGGCATGGAAAGAGTTCCAGGCATGGAGTTTCCAAAAGAATTGACAAAGAAACAGATGGAAGATGTGTTATTGAAAATGAACTTATGGAAACCTCTAGATATCAAAGTCGTCCTTCAACAGAATTTCAGCAAATACGGTAGTTTTTATTGTCTCATATAAGACAAAAGTAATAGAATGCGAGAGATATGGATGCTAAGTTAAGATGATAAGATATATATTTCAGAAGGTAGAAGACCGGATTACTTCATACCTTGTATATAGATGCCTTTATATGAAACAAAGTTTTGTATGTCATATTCCCATTGTCCTTGACCTCATTTTTTGTCTTGCCAGGACAGAGTCAAAAAGTTACATAAGCATTGGCACATCTCATTTCAATGGAGATTATTTGGCACGCCCCTTCAGTCATGGTCTAATGACTTTGAAACTTTTGCTTAGTTTAGATGTATTAGTTTGTGATTAGGTCAGTTTATGGGAAACCACTAGTGGTAGGTCAATGATATTTGGTATGCAGTTGTTTTAGCATTGGCACATCTCATTTCCATGGAGATTATTTGGCCCCTGCCCCTAAAGTCATGGTCTATTGACTTAGAAACTTTTGCTTAGTTGACATGTATTAGTTTGTGATTGGGTCAGTTTATGGGGAACCACTAGTGGTAGGTCAATGATATTTGGTATGCAGTTGTATTGGCAGTGGCACATCTCGTTTCCATGGAGATTGTGTGGTCCTGTACCTTCAGTCATGGTTAATTGACTTTGAATATTTTTCATAACTTACATGTTAAAGTATTGCTAATTTAATTTCAAAGTTTGCATTTTACTATCAAAATAATAAAAAGGTAAGACATATCTCTGTGTTAACAGTTTATATGATTTAGCAACTGTTAGAAAATTTTTATCTCACTTATAATGAGTGATGGTGGTTAGTTGAACATGTTTGTCTGGCATGTATATCTGACTCTCACCTCATTTTTAGCTCACCTGGCCCGAAAGGCCTAGTGAGCTTTTCTCATTACTTGGGGTCCGTCGTCGTCCTTAGCTTTTACAAAAATCTTCTCCTCTGAAACCACTGGGCAAATTTAACCAAACTTGGCCACAATCATCATTAGGGTATCTAGTTTAAAAAATATGACCCCGCCAACCAACCAAGATGGCCGCCATGGCTAAAAATAGAACATAGGGGTAAAATGTAGATTTTGGCTTATATCTCTGAAACCAAAGCATTTAGAGTAAATCTGACAAAGGGTAAAACTGATTATCAGGTCAAGATCTATCTGCCCTGAAATTTTCAGACAAATCTGACAACCCGTTGTTGGGTTGCTGCCCCTGAATTGGTAATTTTTAAGGAAATTTTGCAGTTTTTGGTTATCTTGAATATTATTATAGATAGAGATAAACTGTAAACAGCAATAATGTTCAGCAAAGTAAGATATACAAATAAGTTGTCATGGTTAAAAATAGAACATAGGGGTAAAATGCAGTTTTTATACGACGTTTTTTTGTCGTATATTGGTGGCGTCGTTGTCGTCGTCTGAAGACACATTGGTTTTCGCACTCTAACTTTAGTTTAAGTGAATGGATCTCCATGAAATTTTACCATAAGGTTCAATACCACAAAAGGAAGGTTGGGATTGATTTTGGGGATTATGGTAACAATAGTTAAGGAATTAGGGGCCAAAAAGGGACCAAAAATAAGAATTTTTGTAACTTCCAGACATAACTTGTGTGTTAGTGTATGGATCTCTCTGACATTGTACCGCAAGGTTCCATATTGCAAAGGGAATTCTGGGATTGATTTTGGGGGTAATTGCGTCAAAATTTTAGGAATTAGGGGCCAAAAAAGGGGCAAAAAACAAGCATTTTTCTAGTTTCATGATAATAACTTGTGTGTAAGTGTATGGATCTTTCTGAAATTGAACTACAAGGTTCCATATCACAAAGGGAAAGCTGGAATTGAGTTTGGGGGTAATTGCCCAAAACGTTTAGGAATAAGGGGCCAAAAAGGGGCCAAGAATAGCATTTTTCTAGTTTCCAGACAATAACTTGTGTTCAAGTGTATGGATCTCTCTGAAATTGTACTGCAAGGTACCATACCACAAAGGGAAGGCTGGGATTGATTTTGGGGGTAATTCCCTCAAAATTTTAGGAATTAGGGGCCAAAAAGGGGCAAAAAACAAGCATTTTTCTAGTTTCAGGACAATAACTTGTGTGTAAGTGTATGGATCTTTATGAAATTGTACTACAAGGTTCCATATCACAAAAGGAAAGCTGGGTTTGAGTTTGGGGGTAATTGCCTTAAAAGTTTGGGAATTTGGGGCCAAAAAGGGGCCTAAAAACAAGCATTTTTCTAGTTTCCAGACAATAATATAACTTGTGGTCAAGTGTATGGATCTCTTTGAAATTGTACTGCAAGGTACCATACCACAAAGGGAAGGCTGGGATTGAGTTTGGGGATGATGAATCATAAGGGGGTTCAAAAAATTTAGGGGAGGGATTTTTTTTTTTCTTTAAAATTTTCCATTTTAAATTGGTTATTTCTGATTTATATATAAAAGCAAATAATAATGATATGGTTTGAATAGGTAAATTAAAGAATTTTAAGTTCTTAGACCACATTCATTCTGTGTCAGAAACCTATGCTGTGTCAAATATTTTAATCACAATCCAAATTCAGTGCTGTATCAAGCTTGAATGTTGTGTCCATACTTGCCCCAACTGTTCAGGGTTCGACCTCTGCGGTCGTATCAAGCTGCGCCCAGCGGAGCATTTTATTGGTTTATATCTCTGAAACTAAAGCATTTAGAGCAAATCTGACAGGTGGCAAAAATGTTCATCAGATTTAGATTTATCTGCCCTGAAATTTTCAGACAAATCCGACAACCCGTTGTTGGGTTGCTGCCCCTGAGTTAGTAATTTTACAGAAATTTTGCAGTTTTTTGTTATTATCTTAGATATCATTATAATATCTAATATCTAATATTATTAATTATGATTTCCAAAGCATCAGTAAATACAGGTGAGCGACACAGGCTCTTGAGAGCCTCTAGTTATAGTTTATTGGTAAAACTGTTATGTTTTTGTGTTTTGGTCTTTGTATGGAATGATTCTAAGATGTACATGTCTGTCTGACAGGGTTCTTCTGACCTTTACCTCAATTACATTGATCGTTGATAATGTTAAGTTTATATGATACTTTTAGTAGAACCCTTATCTATAAGACTATATAACAAAAAAACAATCATGAACAGTAAAGCAGCCAAAGACCACTTTATTGCATAATTTCATTATACTGGGTGATGACATTTTTACGCAACAAAAGCTATCAAGTAATGGTCAGTTCTTATTTAAAAAAGGCATGTTTTAACAGACTATAATTTAGACAATTTATTTTTCTGTTATTCTTATGTTATATACATTACTATAAACATTGATATATTATTTCATAGTAATTAAAAACTTTCTCGTTGATCCCATCCAGTGCCATTAGTGTTTTAAATGTTCTTGTACCAAATCTTTCCTGAGACATTTTTTCTTCCATGCAACAAAACATGTTGTGGTCAATGATAGTGATAAATCTAAATGCATTTATGTGATCAGGGTCTCAAATGTGGACTAAGAGCTGGCTTATAGTCTAAGTCACTACGATGGCCATTCATACTTTTGTAAAATAGCTGTTCTGAATTACCAGCATAAAACATTAACATCATTGTAGCAGATAAACAGTGTTCGTATTTTTATTGTAAAATATGTTTTATGTCATTCCAGTGGAATGGCAGGAATGTCTGGGTATGCAGTATTTGTTTGCAAATCGGACATCTTTTGTTCCTACAACCCTTGCAAGAGCCTGCTGAAGAAGATGAATCAGCTCACACAAGCAAATCCTTCAGGCTTCTAGGTCGGCTGTTGTTATTCTCTATCAATGTCTGATTTTCCTTCTGTAACACCTGCATGTTGGGTGGATGTGATGTTCTTTTACTCACTTTGCCACTGTATAATTAGGGGAACAAATCCCCTTAATTCTGAAAGCTTGGCTGGAACACTTTTAATATAGTGTTTTAGATCAAAGCTCTGGGAAGAAGGATATTTATGTTTGTAAATAGGCTTACAGAACAAGTCTGCTGACATGATACCATCCCTCTTTTGTGTGCTAGTCTATAAGAATATTATCTTATAGACAAAGATTTCATAAATGAATTCTATTTAGGGATGAGCATTGTTAGCATGTTGGATGATATCATTAAGTTCTTGTTTGGGTTTATCACACTTCATGTCAACATAGTCAATGAAACTGAACCAAGACAGAGGTTGGTTAGAGTACATTTGTATTATGATTTTGCTGTTCTAATTTTACCATAAAGATTCATGGTATATGACAGAGTCATCTTTGCCCCAATTCTGTTAACCTCGGGATAGAATGTGAAAATTATTGCATTCCTCTATCAAGGTTAGCACCTGGACTAAACATTCAGTTGGTGGGTTTAAAGGTCTAGTTCCTACTTGTAGCATGTTCATCTAACTAACCTAATATTGATACATCTCATGGGCTACACTTTCCTCCTGTATGACTGGTTTCTTTTTATTGATGCATCTCATTGGTTATAAATTCCTGCTTAATAACTGGTTCCTGTGTCTTTATTCAGCCAGATTTGTTCCTCCCTAAACCATTTTACATCAGGTTCTGTTACTTGAAGATCTTACTTGAGATTTAATTGACTAGGTTTACCTTATTTTCAGGTTTCTACCCTATACCAACAGAGTTCCATAGTATTTATGAAGAAAAGAAAGGTAATATAGGTATGATGTATTTACACTTTAAATGATATGTTACAGTTATTAAAAACTATCAAATTGATTAAACTAAAACGTCACAATTAATATTATAATTGACATTTAAACTCTTTAAATTTAAAAATATTGTGGAAAATGTTTTATTTCTTTTATGTTTCAAAAACATTAATATCGGTAGTGGCTTTGAGGTAAAATATACTATGGGAACATTGAAAACTTGCACAATGCAAAAATGTTTCTTTTACAAAATGTGCCTTCAATTTTAGATTGTCTAAGGACCACTGTGAGCAATTGCAATCACTTTTTGTGTTTAGTCAGTTAATATTTTGTTAAATCTATTTTGGGTTATTAGTAAAAAGTGAAATCGTTTGAATTACAAAAAAAATAACATTGGCAGTTAAAACTTAAAACTCAAGTCACCTTATAAAAATGCAAACTTGACCAATAGTGTCCAAAATGCCATTGAAATCTTCTCACACCATATGAGATAGGATCGTTACAACTGGTGTTACATACTGCTCAGTTTCTGTATGAAGGAATTATTAGATAATTGGTCTGGAACTTTAGAATATTCAGTTCAAACATGTTAGTGATTTATTCAGATCTGCATATCAGTCACTTCCTGTTTGAATGTACATTGTACTTTTAAACTTTTTTTCTGTCAGAAAGTTGATAAGGGAATAGGTGTACATAATATTATAATCTGCATTTGGAATAAATGTTTTGTTATAGCTGAACTGATGAAGACCAGAAAGAGGCATAGAAAAGAAAGCAGTATTTTGAGATCTAAGAACAATGATTTGCAACAAGAAAATGTTGCCATAAAGCAAAACACCATTTCCAAGGCAACACATCAGCAACTGTTGGGAGAATTACAAGCTAAATTAGACTATTTTCAACAAAGACTTAACTGTAAAATTTGCTTTGAAAAAGAACTAGAAGTGAAGGTTCTTCCTTGTCAGCATGTCTTTAGTTGCAGGGAATGTTTTAAAAGGACTACTAAAACAAGTTGTTTTATTTGTGAGGGTTTAATTCAGAACACTGAAGTATTTTGTTTTTCTTAAGACAATCGATACATGCATTTTTATGATATGTAAAATTTTACCAAAAAATGACAAATGGAGGCCAGTGTTTTAGTAGAATATATTACCCGAGTTGTATTCAATAATTCACAAAACTTGCGTTACTATGAAGCAGAACACAGAGATGGGTAAAATATTTCTTTTCTTTTTGTGATTTTGATACTGCTGATTTTTATTTTAAATTTGTATTTATAAAATAGTGACCATCAGTATTCATATGTCAGTCATAGTACCCCATAGAATTTTTTTTTTTTTAAGTTTTTTTACTAGTTGCATGTAATATAAAGTCATCAACTCCCTATAGGTGAAAATAACAGGAGATAATAAACTTGCCCAACTTCCTGATCATAATCTTTCTTACTTTTGATCACATAACAGGTCATTGACAAAGCGTCATTTAAGAAGATAATGTGTACAAGGGGGAACATACAGGCTGATATCCAGTTGAAATTAAACAAAAGAAATGAAACTCTTTATTGAAGAAGGTAAAAAAAGGCCAAGTTGGTATACTAGTATTTGAATTGTTTACATCTGTTTCTATGGGCTTTAAAAGTCTAATGTAGGTGTATAATTTAGGATTTCATGTATATACATGTTTTTACTTACCGGTAAATTATAGTATGGAGCTTCGAGATATTTATTGACTTTTAAATTAAAGAATAATGTTCACAAAACAGTAGATTGTGGTAGGTGTAAATACATGTGGATCTTTTTTGTGCATAATCATGAATTCCTCTGAAAAAAATTCCACAGAAAGATAAAAGATTGATCTTTTTAAAGCATTCATTTGCATCTCTGCCCCCGGTGACAGTTTTTTGAGAAAAATCCTTAAAATGGGCAATAATTTCATCGAAAAAGACAAATTCAGGTACACCTTTTTATGTTCTGCCATGTTTTAGGTGACAATTTTGTCTTGAAAATGTATAAAGCAAAAATATTTGATGTATCATCTTGCTTCAGATTCTATTATTTTTATATATTTAGGCTACAGGTTGATATAATAACATTAAAAAATGAAATATATGGATCAAGGGAAATACCTTTCTAATGAGTCATTACAACACGGTGTGTTTGAATCACAAATTTTTATTGAAAACCCTTGATGACAGACTTTACAAGTGGATCTTAAAAATGCAGAACTTCGAAAAAATTCCATTTTTTGTGTGTATTATCAAGGGTAATTCCTCTTCAGCCTCTCAAAATTTTTAGTCTGCCCTTTCATGATTTTTAATTAGAATTTATTTTGTGTTGTTGAACTTTCGAAAATTCACTCTGACAACCTATCAGACATTACTTTTAAGTTGACTAAAGACCTAAAAGTACATTTAACAATGCTTAATAGCTAGTAGATACATTTGTCTCTTAAAGTTCAACTATATAAGGATTGTAATGGTGCTATGTGGATAAATTTATCGGTTTTCAAGATCTGAATTGACAGCGTGTCATCCCTACAATTGCTTCCATTTTTACGATTGAAAAAATTAGTTGGCGTAATGGGGAGATAATTTGACGAAGTAGAATCCTGACTGCATATAGATGGTTAATAAGCTACATTTAAGGATAATTTTGGTGCAAAATATTAAAGATGAGTATATAGGAAACAATAAAAAGACTAATCATAGTGTGTCATTAGTTTACTTACGTATATAAGAAAAGGATATTTTGTAAACATTGCTTAACACATCTTAAACCTTTATGAACCATTCAACTGTAAATCAAAATACATATTTATACCAAAACAAATATTTCTAGCATTTAAAAACCGTACCAAACTGATGCATATTTTTTTCAAAAGGCGAAAAAATTACTTCCCATTTTGGCTATACATCTTGTTGTATTTGAGCAATTTAAGTCGTTATTAAAACTAGAAAAGAAAATAAACAATTTTTGTCTGACCTGCGATGAAAGTAGCAGAATCCGAGACACAGGGATAACAATCTGGAGGTGGCATAAACTATTTGTGTAAAGCTTTATATTTCAGAAGGTAGAAGACCTGGATGCTTCATACCTTATAATAAACTCAGAGCAAGGGAAAAAGTGCTTTTATCCCTGTTCTTGGATCTCAAAGTCACACAGCGGTTAGAAAAATATTGTCATCCTTGGACTTCTACAGGCAGACAGTAAAACCCTTGCTAAAGTGTGGGCTGTTAAGTTAGTTTATGTCGAACCTGCGACTTTTGTCGCAGAAAGCTCTACATAGGGATAGTGATCTGGTGGCGGCTACGGCAGTGACGACGGCTACGGCGGCGACGACGGCTACAGCGGCGTTAGCTTACTTCTTAAAAGCTTTTTATTTTAGAAGGTGGAAGACCTGGATGCTTCATACTTTGTATATAGATGCCTTATGTTACGAAGTTTCCGTTTGTCACATGTCCATTGTCCTTGACCTCATTTTCATGGTTCAGTGACTACTTGAAAAAAAAGTTGTGATTTTTTGTAATGTTAATTTCTCTCTTATTATGAGTAATAGGATAACTATATTTGGTATGTGCCTACCTATCAAGGTCCTCATGCCCGTCAGACAGTTTTCACTTGACCTCGACCTCATTTCATGGATCAGTGAACAAGGTTAAGTTTTGGTGGTCAAGTCCATATCTCAGATACTATAAGCAATAGGTCTAGTATATTTGGTGTATGGATGGATTCTAGGTGTACATGTCAAACTGGCAGGTGTCATCTGACCTTGATCGCATCTTCATGGTTCAGTGGTTATAGTTAAGTTTTTTTGTTTTGGTCCGTTTTTCTTATACTTTATGCAATAGGTCTACTATATTTGGTGTATGGAATGATTTTAAGGTGTAGATGTCCAACTGGCAGGTGTCTTCTGACTTTGACCTCATTTTCATGGTTCAGTGGTCAAAGTTAAGTTTTTGTGTTTTTGTCTTTTTTCTTATACTATATGCAATAAGTCAACTATATTTGGTGTATAGAAATATTCTATGATGTACATGTCAGTCTCGCAGGTTTTATTTGACCTTGACCTCATTTTCACGGTTCATTGCTCAGTGTTAAGTTTATGTGTTTCAGTCTGTTTTTCTTAAACTATATTAAACAATAGGTCAGCTATATTTGTTGTATGGAAGGATTGTAAGCTGTTCAAGTCTGCCTGGCATGGTTCATCTGACCTTGACCTCATTTTCACGATTCATTGGTCAATGTTTAGTTTTCTTGTTTAAGTATGTTTCTTAGAAACTATAAGCAATAGGTCAACTATATTTAGTGTATTGAATGATTGTAAGGTGTACATGTATTTCTCGTTTGGTTTATATGACCTTGACTTCATTTTCTTGGATCCTGTTAAGTTTATGTAATAGTTGTAGTAAAGCTTTCATTTAGGACTATCAACATAATATCAATGGTTAGTAAAGAAGGCGAGACATTTCAGCGTGTGCACTCTTGTTTTAATGTACAAACACATAGATAAAAGAACCCTTACAACACATGACTAATGTTTCTGTTAACAAATTTTGAATTATCAAATAGTATTTGTGCTATTTTCGTTTTTTATTTTTTTTTTTTACCAGTCTTATTCATAATAAGACTAATTTCCCATGATGTATGTAGTTATCATCAGACGTAATGTCTATTAGAAATAAATATTTTTTAAGTTTTTCCTATAAATTTGTAGTAATATGGCTGTTCATCAGATTATGAATTTTCAGGAGATACATAATTTCTATGGCAACAGTTTTGTAAATGTTGATTTTTTTGTTGAATTTTTTAATGAAATTCTTATATTTTTATGAATTTCCAATTATGTATACTCCTTTTATTGCATATCATATACATTTATAGTGCTTTTTGACGGGTTATGCATTAGATTATAATTATATACTGGTTATGATTTTTTTTTCATTGTTATTTCTTATTTAACATATTGATGTTTTTACATTTTTTAACCTGCATATTTATTATATTCTCGTGTTAGATCTTTATAGTGTTTTTGTATCATTTAGTATTAATATTGTGTAAGAAAAATGTATGAAATTGGAAGCATCACTAGCATGGCTCATATATTAAATCATGAACAGCTTAGCTGGAGGTAAATTTAAAAAATAATACTGGTTGATAAAACCATTGAAAAACTACAGGACATCATACAAAATTGGATGAACATAAAAATAAGAAGATGTGGTATAACTGCCAATGAGACAAGAAGTTAACAACTATAGGTCACCGTACGGCCATTTCTGACTTATTTTTACAACACACAAATCAGTAGTTTATCATGGTTATGGTCATTTGATATTTACAGTGCACTTGATCATGTCATGTGTCGCTTCCAATTTTCGTTTGTAAATAGATATTCATCATTTCCTGTAAAACATTTTCAACTTCTTTAAATCAAACTCTTATTCAATCAAATCTGATTTCAGGAAAAGTTATTTTGAATTTGATCATCATGTTTTAAAAATCAGGTATATGCTTTATTTTTGATATTATGTATTTCTCAGGCCCTCAGACACTTTAGAATAAATTTTGCTATGCATAAGAGTACTTACAATACTTATAAAATTCAGAAAAAGAATATGTATATGTTGCAAAGGCATTTTTGTCTCACCTTGGCGGAGTCAAAAAGCGAGACATAGGTATGCTGTTTCCTGCGGCGGCATCAACAATGTATTAGTTTGTGATTAGGTCTAGTTTATGGTGAACCACTAGTGGTAGGTCAATGATATTTAGTATGCAGTTGTATTAGCATTGGCACTTCTTATTACCATGGAGATTATTTGGCTCCGCCCCCTCAATCAAGGTCTATTGACTTTGAAACTTTTCATAGTTTACATGTATTAGTTTGTGATTAGGTCAATTTATGGGGAACCACTAGTGGTAGGTCAATGATATTTGGTATGCATTTGTATAAGCATTGGCATATCTCATTTCCATGGAGATAATTTGGCTCCGCCTCCTTAGTCATGGTCTATAGACTTTGAAAATTTTGCTAAGTTAACATGTATTAGTATGTGATTAGGTCAGTTCAAGGGGAACCATTAGTGGTAGGCCAATGTTAATTGGTGTTCAGTTGTATAAGCATTAGCACATCTCATTTCCATGGAGAATATTTGGCCCGCCCCCTCAGTCATGGTCTATTGACTTTGAAACTTTTGCTTAGTTTACATGTATTAGTTTGTGATTAGATCAGTTTAAGATGAACTGCTAATATTAAGTCATTGATATTTGGTATGCAAATTTATTGGCATTTGCAAGTATCGTTTCCATGGAGATTATATAGCCCCACCCCTGATCATGGTTCATTGACTTTGAAACTTTTACATAGTTTACAAGTTAATGTTTGTGTTTAGGTTTGTTTAAAGGGAACGACTTATAATAATTCAATGGTATTTGGTATGCAGTTGTATTAGCATTGGAACATCTCATTCCATGGAGATTGTTTAGCCATGTACCTTCAGTCATGGTTCATCGACTTTGAATATTTGCATAACTTACACGTTAAAGTATTGCTATTTTAATTTCAACTTTTGCATTATCAAAATTACAAAAAGGCGAGACATATCTCTGTGATAACAGTTTATTTACAAGTTTCTTTTACTAATTATTTTACAAAACCACCAAACCATAGCTGAGATTTTGAAGTTCCTTCCCTAGTTGGGAATTTGTTTTTATGTAACAGCTTCAATGATGAATATAAACAACTAAATGTACAGTTGACAATGTACTGTGATTCACCTTTTATCTCTTACTTCCAAAGTTTGCTAAAAAGAGTAGTCATGATGTTATGATATTACATTTGAACTTAGCATCATGGAGTATATCATAGTCTTTTTTATATTAAGTAGTTTATTAAGGTTTGGTACTGAAGTTTAAGTAAATTTATATAGCACAAATTAAAAGTCCACCAATTTTATTTGTTGATACACTGCATATCTACAATGCAGTTTGTTTTATAATCGGCAGCTTTTCTACCTTATATATCCACTCTCTCATTATAACTTTTTATGATCTGATTTTAATTAAATCTTCATATGCTCTTTAAGTTTAGAATTTAATAGCAAACATTGGCATATTCATCTATTTCTCATCATGAATATCCAAAATCATTGCTAGGTTTTTGGATTTTTTTATATATATTTCAACATGTTTCCAGAAACGAAATAAGTTTGACATGATTTTCAAGCTTATTTATTTCCTATTGCTGAAAATGTATGATCCATGTTTCAGAATGAAAATAGATATATAAATTTAATAGATTTTTTTTAGAATGATTCAAGCTGTCTTCATATACAGTGCCTTAAAGTTAAAATTTCCATGTTAAAATGCAGTCAATTATTTGTCTATCTTTCTTCAAAAATCTTTTTTCACACAGTAGAAATTTCTATCTTTGCTCATTTCATCTTTAAATACTGATACCCGGTGTTTGTATTGAATTATATTACAATGTATTTAATTGTTTGCATGCCCTGACATTCTATTGCTTAATATTGTATCTAAGGAGATGAAGATCTAAGTTACTAAATAATACTTTTTGCTATGATTTTACAAATTGTGCAATAATATTCTGTTGATCCATCAGATGGTATAATCATTATACCAAAATCATCAAGCAAAGTGGCAAAGTGGCAAAGTGGCAATCATAAATCTACAGAATGTAAATTTCAATGTTTAGATTTTTATTTATTCATTGTAATTAAGGAATGACTGTAATATTTTTTCTGTCTATGAAGAAATAACATCAAAAATGTGGTGCACACTGAATAACCCGCGTAGAATTATTGGTAGTTAAAGTGATGAAAGAAATATAATAAATTTCAGACAACCATAAGGTAGCTACTTGTGACCTCATTTCATTTTTTTTTTTTTAATTTGCAGTTATCTCCCCTTTAATTATCTTGACAGCTTAAAACAACCAAATCTTTGACTGTGCTCTGATGTTTCAGATATCATGGTTGTATCCAAAGTAATGGATTGGAGGGAGATATCTGATCTTATTTAGATTGTTTGTCAATATGATACATGTATCTGCACATTTTTCTTTTCCGTTCTTTTCTCTTTTCTTTGCTCAATAGTTTAGATAAATTATACTATATATTTCTTGTTTTGCTGTCAGTAAATGTTAGATTACCTTGTAGAATTATAACAATTTACATGTAGTAAAGCTAAGATTGTGCAATGCAAGAGAAAAAGGTATTACTGT